ATATCATTTCAATCCAGATATATTTACTAAGACATTTAAACAATTACATTCTTTCTGTTTTTAAGTCCCTATTTACTTTCCAAGAGAATGCACATCTATCCGTATCAGTATCTCTTTCTTTCACACATTCTTTCTCTATCATACTTTCTAGTGTGGTATAGTTTTTGCAATGATGGGTTCTCCCTCTAATATAACTGAAATTATTCACATAGACCTAACCCATTTCATCCAGATCACTCGGGGGGGCCACTCTTTCCTCCACTCCATGGAGCCTCATTCCCATAGAAAGCGGCAGGCATGGTTCCTTCTGGAGTTGTACAATGCCTGGCTCATTTTTGTCTGAGTGCCAGAACTTAGCACTTACAAGCGGGCAGCCTCCACTCTTTTATAAAGTGGAAATTATCCCGGCACCACCATGAATGACTCATGAAGTTGGAGTGGATAGTGTGTTGGGGGTGCGGATGGGAGAAAGGATCGGAAAGTGAGAGAGAACTGTGTCCAGCACACGTGTCTTAGAGCTTTCTTCATTCTGGCTCTCTGAGATCAGATCTTCCTTCACATTCTTTCTGTTCCCCCATTTAATGTGGAAAACAGAGCTCCAGCATCTCAGGAGTGGGTCAAGTAATACTAGAATACCCAATTCTAAGGCATGTCAATAGTTTGATTTCTGTTCTGGGGGAGAGAACATTCCATCTTGATCTATTTTCTTATTTTTTATATTAAGTGTTAGGCAGCAAGGCTTAGGATGGAGAGAAATAGCTTCTTATTGTCCTCTCTTCCCAATCTAGGGGCTGTAAAGTTAATAAAAAAGCTTATCATTTTCTAATCCCTTATTATGTGCTAGGCACTGTGCTAAGGGCTTAATCATTTAACCTACACACAGGCCTACATGGTGAATACTCAGTGGACACGATTAGCACCATTTTGCAGATAAATGAACAGAGGCATGGAGATGCGCTGGCTTGCCTTCAGTCTGACAGTCACAGGGAGCAGGGGCCATCAGCCCAGGCGGAGCTGACTCCAGAGCTGTAGACCGAGCCACCAAGACACCCTTCGTGCGGGAGAGGAGCTGTAAACACATCACATATTTTCCCTTCCTCTACAAGCTTCCTCATATGACACCTTTGCCCTGAAATGAAAGCTGGGTCAGAACATACAGTCTGAGCACAAGGGGATGATGTGGGGTGAGAGTCACAGGGACAGTTACGTAATCCACAGCTGTGGGTCTGGGCCACCATCTGTGAGCTGTGAGCCAGGCAGCACAGGCCCAGCTGGGAAAATGGCACCCAGTTCCCTTGCCTGTCCCCTTCCCCAAGGACGGGGTAGGGGAAGCAGGGATCTTTCTGACCTTCTCAGAGGGAACAGAAAGACTTTTATGTTTAACTCCTTCCAGAAGTGTCTTCTTCTTTCCAGGTGCCGGGCACACAGCACCAAAATAAATAAGACTTATGGAGTACTTACGGTGGGCCAACTCCATTAGCTCATTCAAGTCCTCACACTTGATTATACCTGTTTTATGGCACTTCAGAAAGGTAAGTAGCCTCTCCAGTGTCTCACAGAGAAAGGAGAGCCAGGGTTTAAACCCAGAGCCACAAGTGTAAGCACTACTGTCTCCTGTTTCCCTCAACATGTATTATTATTTCATTTTGTCCAAGATGCTGGACAGCAAGGCTTCAAGTTCCCAGTCTTCCCTGTCCCTCTTCCTTCCCTGCCGGTGCCCTGCCCACTACTCTGCGCCCCCTCATCTGTCAGGGCAGAGTCTGGGCCAACCCGTTGTACCAGCCCATTGTTCAAAGGGCCTGTGGGGTCTCTTGTAATTGTACTCCACCTCCGAGTTGCTTCATTTGGTGAAAACAAGGTCTGCTTATTTTGAGAGTTTGTGTTTGGGGGAGAAACTTCTTATATCCTAACTTCCCATAACCATCACCCCAAACCCTGATCCCTGGAGAATTCATGGTATAGAGTTTGTATAAAAAGTAATTTAGATACAAGGTCTCCTGGCCCAAGATCAAGGATTCCAGGCTCTGATCCTGGCTCTGAACTCCAGGCACTCTACTCCCCAGTCTCAATCTCTCTCTCTGCATCCATGGTAAAGGAAAGACCCTCCAGGGGTAAGAGGAAGAGGAATGGGATGAAATACGAGGAAATCCTTGCATTCCTGAGGGGGGAAAACGTTCCCCATGTGGTTAAACAAAATAATGCATGTAAAGCATTTAGCTAGCTCCTGACACCTGGTAGATGCTCAACTGCTGTATGAGCCATAGAGCCACTGCACCTGCAGAGTCTCATAGGGCTGGCTGCTTGCAGGGTGTGGCTGTAGGAGAGTGCTTTCCTGAGTTGGCCTGCCAGGTACAGTTGGTGACATGCCACAGCTCTCAGGAAAGTGACCTAACTTGGATTTTTCTCTATGGACACAGAATTGCAAGAAATTCTCATTTGCATGGAGATAGGAAGTTTATTTTTCCTAGAATCTGCAAGTCTAGACCCAGAGAAAGAGGCATTTCTTCATAATGATTAATCAACTGTATTACAAAGGTGAAAGAAAAGAAAACAATTAAGGCAATGAGAGCTAAGGAAACAAGGAGGAAAAAAATCTCCCAAAGGTGGATCCGCCCAGTAAACCTTGACAGTATTTCCTCTTATCTACCTGCATAAAAGTGACCAGCCCTCTCCAGGTGGCAAAGAGCACCGAGAGAGAATAGACACAGGAGCAGCCTGAGCATCCAGGGACAGGTGAGCCTCGTGCCAGCCTCCATCAGAGGCTTTTATTCCTCCTCGTCCTAACCGTCTCCTCTTACAGTTGCAGAGAGGTTGCATTCTATTTTGAAGAATGGGGAAGGGTACCCAATACAGAGCGTGAACTTTCTGGTACCTTATTCTCAATAATAGAAGATGGGAAGTGGAAAAGAAGAAAGGAAAGAAGAGAAGGGGAGGGAATGTAACATGTATTATAACCTTTCCATTCTAGGAACTGTGCTGGGCACTTTATATCTTCTTTCAAATCCTTTGCAATATTAAGTACCTTTTTTAATGTAAGAAACACCTCTAGTTCAGTCTGCCCAACTGGAAATGCATTTCTTTCTGCCTGGTATGAGGGCATCTGTGGGGATCGCCAGTTCAGGTCCCCAAGGGAACAGACTGTGAGTGGGGTGGTGTAGTGGTGAGGACAGATGGCTCAAGGGCCCGGCCTCGCTGTCTTCTAGGCCTGCCTCTGCTACTTGGTGGCCACGCATGTTGAGCAAGTTCCTTCGCTTCTCTAAGCTTCAGTTCCCTCTTTGGTAAAATGGAGATAGAAACTCACAGGATAATACTCACAGGATGGTTGTGAGCATTAAATAATTATGTCAAATGTTTGGCACCATGCCTAACACATGTGGTGTGCATGATAAACTTTTGTTACTACTGTTACCTGAATCTGCCAATATGTCTGGAATTGCTCAACCAAGGAAAGTATCTTTCTCCTCCACAAGGTGTCTGGGCCTCCTGGCAGCATGGGGAGAGCAAGGAACATCCGCTGCTTCTGACAGTTATCTTGTCAGAACAAAAACTGTGCTCTCTTCCTAGTCACTTGGCTTCTAGAAGCAGCCCAGTTACCTTTAGAGGGGAGGTCGCTCTGAGGAAATATACAGACTTCCGCGCCAGCAGGGTCTATATTCTTGTTTTGTCTGAAAGAGAGAGGTTGGAGAAAGAGAAATGAAGCTCTGTGGTATAATGCCTGCTACTTGGTGAGGTCTTGGCATACACCTGCTTTCTCGCTGGGGATGATGCCGAATTAAGGGGAGATAAGGCGAAAAGGCTCTCTAAACAGGATTTGCTGTTTCTTGGCTCTCTGGAGAAGAACCTGGGAGTCCCAAGGAAGATCTGGGAAGTGGTGGTTGGGAATGGGGGCAGCTGGGGCTCCCATTCTGGAACCAACGGATGTGTTTTATAGTCAGAGCTACTATATAATTAAAGGTAGGAGGTAGGGTCACTCTGCAGCCCCCTCAGCTGGCTTCCTTCTTGAGTGCCTCCCTCTCCTCCACTGTCACAAACATTGCACACACATAGCTGGAAGGGAGAACGCTCCGTGGGCACCAGCGAAGATGCTGGATAGAGAATTGCTCTATTCACACACATTGTAAGACTTTAAGGTTAAGCTTTGTTTGTGAAACTTGGGCTGCTGGGAAAAGTCAAAGAATGAGTGCTCAATAAGTTGTACAATTGTGTTTTGTGCAATATTCTCAATGTGTATTATCTGACACCCTTTAAAGTGGTTAAATGCAAAAAGCAGAGAAAGCTGTCACAGGAAGCGGGTGAGTATTAGAAGAGGCAGTGAGCATCTCAGGGTCTGGCCCTGCCTACAGACTGGACTGGCAAGCTACTAACAAGAGGGCAACTTGCCCTCTGCCAGGGCAACCTCCCTCTTTCTCTTCACTGTGGCTAATTAGTTATTGGGAGATGGCTTGCTCCTCCCTTTCCTATCTTCCCCAGAAGGCAACATCTTCATAGTTGGCTTCACACAAATGATTTTAAGCAGATGCACAGCAGGGGTTTATAATAAAAGGGTGTCACCTATTTCAGGGGTGAATATAAAAAAACAAATGTGCTTTTATGGTTTTTCAGATGTGTTGCCTAATTCCTAGGGCATATTACAACCCTGTTTTTCCTATTTAATTGATTAAAAGCAATGCTTTTCATCCCTTTTGACAAAGTGAGCTGTGTTGAGTCATAATAGAGTGATATACACAAGAATACACACTCTGGAACTTGAGAGAGCACTGTATTGTGCTTCCTGGGATGGAGGTGGGAGCGTAGGGGGAGGGGGAGGGCTCATACAATTGATTCAGGAAAACCAGAGGAGGAGACACACGGCCCTGAATTCCACAGGCTGAGGCATTGAGTCTGTTTTCTTGGTTGCAGCCTGGTCTGCCCTTTGCGGTCCAAAGGGGAGCTCAGTTGGGGTCTCTTTCACTGTTCTCCAGTATTGGCTGGGCAGCTGACTTCCACCCTTCCTGCAGGACATGAAGGCACAGCGTGTTTCCCTCTGGCTCCTGGGCACAATGCTCTCCCTGTGCTCAGCGCACGCCCGAGGTCTCAGGAGATGTCTGATTTCCATGGACATGAGCCATGTCGAAGAGACTTTCCAGGACATCAAAAGAGCCATCGTGAGTATGGGCTCTGGGTGAAGTTGGGGGTGGGCAAGGGGGCTCGCCTTGCCGTACGTGCTAACTTGAAGAGCAAGTACCTTCTCATTATTTTTCCTGTCTCAGGAAGACATGGAATACTCATCACTTGTGTTTGTTCTCATGTTTTCCTCCACAGCAAGCTAAGGACACCTTCCAAAATGTCACTATCCTGTCCACATCGGAGACCCTGCACAGGATCAAGGTAAAGGTCTGCTTCTGGTCTTTCCTGTACTGTTATTTTTTACAATAAAGTGGCCCTGGGCTGAGAAAGAAATCCTCACTCGGCCCCCTTCTCTTTCCTAATCTCCAGAGTACTCTAAATGTTCCTGGCTTCTCATTAATTCACTGATGTGTTAGGACACACCCGTGTCTCAGGGATTCTGAAAACTGTGGGAGCCACCATTCTGTTGTCTGTATCTATGAGGATTTTATTTGTTGCTTTTTGTTTTATATCCCCATAGATGTAGGTAGCAGAATAGTGGTTAACCAGAGGGGAGGGGGGAGGACAACGAGGGTGGAGGGGGTCAAATATATGGTGACAGAATGAGACTAGGTTTTGGGTGGTGAGCACACAATAGAGCATACAGATGTCATGTTATAAAGCTGTACACCTGAAAGTTTTACTTTTCCCTCGGGCTTCTCTGCATGAGATGATTCATCTAATAAGTATTAGGCCTGGTTCATTTGTGGTAAACAGATGTGTAACCTTTTACTAAATGTTATTCCAGCCAACTGAATAAGAAACTCATAGAATATCACAGCTGAAAGTGACCCTAATGATTAGTTATTCCAAAACCATAATTTTCAAGTGATCAAACTGATACCATGGGAGGGAGAATGACTAGATAATAGTTGGGCCAGGAATGGAGCCTCATGTCTCATGCCTCTGTCTCTAGATTCTTCTCCTCTCAAGGTTTAGAAATAGCTGATGGGGCCTAAGGGAAAGGGTCAATGAGGATGCGGATCTTTTAAAATTTTCTTCCTCCTTCCTTTCCTCCCTGATTGAACAAAGATATACCCCATTGCCCCTTTGGTTAAGGGAACTGGCAGGAATGATGAAATAGCGGGGGGGTGTGTGTGTGTGTGTGTGTGTGTGTGTCTGTGTGCGTGTGTGTGTGTGTCTGTGTGCGTGTGTGTGTGTGTTGGAGGGCGGCAAGTAGTGTTTGCCATTGAGGAAAAGCTACCCCTGAGGCCAAGGAAGGTTTGTTGCCTTAATGTTAATGAAGATGAAAGCTCTATCCCCCTGTAGACCCTGCCTTTCTCAGACTGACCTATGTATAAGTCTCCTGCAGAGAACACTGATCTCAGGGTGGGTGCAAACTGCAAGAAAGAATCTCGGCCCGCCAGCTGCTCTGAGCTGTGCCCTGGGAATTCAGGGCCCTCAGTCAGCTGCGGACCTGCACAGGGGTAGGCCATTTCCGTAGCAGTCAGTTTCTGTTCTTGCAAATCTCAGCTCCATCCAAATGATCTTTGTAGTTTAAAAAGGACAGACTGGAGGAGAGCTGAGCAGGTTGGCTAGGGTGAAGTAGTATCATTGTAATAGAAGGAATATGTACCAACATATGCCTGGCAAGCAACAGCCATTGAATAAATCCATGTTCACGGATGGGAGATGTTACAGAGAGGCAGACTTCCGCACAATGTAAGGAAGTATTTTTCAAGAAAGCTGCTCAGACATCAGTCCTTTCAGAAGGGAGATGCCTGACTCCTGCAAGGGTTTAAGCAGAAGTTGGTGGTGACATGTTGGGGATGCTGTGGAGAGAATTCTAGTCTCTGATGGGGCTCCATCTCTTGTTAATGTATCTCCTGGCCCTCCAAAAATAGTAGTTCACTCACAATCTCTCCTCAGTGCCTTTGTCTTAAGTAGCTTCAGTGTACCTAGGGATGGACACTCTGAAATCAATATGAATTAACAAAAATAACTTTTAATTATCTCATTCCTTGCTGCTCTTATACAAATAGGCTGCTTTGGTTTCTAAGTTAATAAAGAGAAGAGGGCCATGGGGCTTTCTCTAATTTGTGCCTGTAGCCCTCAGATGTGTGCTGCGTGACCAAGAACCTCTTGGCGTTTTACGTGGACAGGGTGTTCAAGGACCATCAGGAGCTGGACCCCCAAATCTTGAGAAAAATCAGCAGCATTGCCAACTCTTTCCTCTACATGCGAAAAGTCCTGCAGCAGTGTGTGAGTCACCATGACGGCGTTCCGCACACCTGTTCCCTGTCTGCCCCAGGGGGAGCCTAGGATGTGCTGGCCCGGTTGCCTTCTAAAATGGTTCCTGAAGTCATAGGAAATTTCCTCCCCTGTCTTGCAAGGGGAGAACTGTCGACAGCCTCTTCCAGTGGCCACTCCTTGCTCGGGGCTTCCTCCCTGCTGCCACCTTACCAGACCCAGGTTTCCTCCAGGGTAATCCTCCTGGGGTAACCAATTATGTCAAAGTGGCCCCTTGGTGATCCCAGGACTCGCCTGGGAGAGGAGCATGCCAGCGATTCCAGGTTTATCAAAGCACACCCTTAGTTTCTTAGTTTCTGGCCTTTTGGTGTTTTCAAACCAATTAACCTCTGGGTGATTCTCTGGTATAGCCTAACCCTAATGATCACCTGCAAATTCATTGCTATCTATTAAAATCCAACATCAGAAATAAAACCAGACTCAAGTAAACCAAAAACTTAGGCCAGTAAAAATCTTGGGTTCTAGGCCGATCCCTGCCAATGATTTCTTGTGTGACTTTTGGCAAGTTACTTTACCTGTCTGTGTCAGATTCTAAAATTGTCAGAAAAATCTGTGACCCTTGTTCCACTTACATTATGATTCATTGAACCAGTTATTTAATTAACCAACCTAACAAATATTTATTAGGCGCCTGTCTTGTGATGCTGCATTTAGAGTGGGGGCAAGACAGATTTGTCACCTACTTTCTTGGCTCTCCCTGTCTGGGGGAATGTCAACCCAGAAAAGCAAAACACAGTCAAACACAGCGTGACTCTGCAAACAGACTTCACTTCCTACCTGCTGCTCCACACTGAGTTTACTTACCTGATTCCTGCCTTGGGAGGAAGGAGCAAAGTCACTCCATGAGGGGTGGGGTGGAAGTGGAGGGCCAGGATGGAAAGGTCCTCTGATGGGTGCTGCCTCCACTTTCTCACAGCAGGAGCAGAGGCTGTGTCCCTGCCGGCAGGAAGCCACCAATGCAACCAGAATCATCCATGACAACTACCAGCAGGTAAGGGCAGGGAGGAAGGCGGGGAAGATAGAGTGATAAATAAGGGCCTGATAGAGAGTGCGCCAACCCTTTTGCCTCCATTCCACTCAAACCCATTCATTTACTCAACAAGTATTTACTGCAGGCCTTTCCGGTTGTGTGTGTTTGAAAAGAGTGTGTTGTTGGTCTTACCTCATTTCGAATTTCCTGGGCTCCCCTTGCCCACATCCCTCCACCATTTTCTTATGCTCTTACATATCAGTCCTATCCTGTATTAAGTTTTGAGGGAATGCATGTATTGTTTAAGATGGGGGTAATACAGAGGAAGCAAGACCTCCAGTCAATTGGAAGCTGCACTACATGAAACATGTTACCTGCCAGGTGTCACTGTGACCAGTAACTGTCATGAGAATTCTGTGTGGTGCAGAAGAGCAGGCTTCTCATGTAGCTGTAGTTGCCTGCTTCATACACAGGTGGAGGTAGAAGTGATGCTTCTTATGTGCAGCATTTGGAGTTTTTGTTAAAATGCTCATTCTGGCTCCATAGGTCTGGAATGAGGCCTGGGATTTTATATTCCAGCCACACTCTCAAGAGATGTCAATTATTTGAATTGCAAGGAGATAGGGAGAGCTGTTCAGAGCTCCGCTTCTTTGAGGAGAGGTTACACAGTATAATGTTGTAACAATGGTTAAGAGTTGTATTGTTCTTACTACGAGTCAGGTACCATTGTAAGCACACTACAGGTATAAACACATTTATTCCTTACAACATTGCTATGAGCCATTATCTGCATTTGACAAATTAGGAAACTAAGGCACAGACAGGTTAAGTAACTTAACTACGTTCATATTGCAACTAAGTGGTGAAGGTAGGACTCTACACCATGCCTTCTGGCTCCACAAGACATACTTTTAGTCTGCTGAAGAAGAGGTAAAGTAAGTCAGGAGACTCGGGTTCTAGTTCCAGCTCTGCTACCAACCAGTTGTGCGACATTGGGTAGGACACTGATCCTTAGGGACTTTGGTGCTTTAATATGTAAAATTGGGGACAGCAACCTCTCCCTATCCCCTGCACAGCACCCTGGGATTGAGACCTTCTCAGGAAAATAGGCAAAAGAACTGTCCACAAAGGCAAGTTTTTCTGTGAAAAACAGGAAAAAGAAAAACCGAGGGCAAAGAATGAAGAATTTTAAATTTTGTTTTGAAGTTGCTGACATGGTTTAAATGTGAAAACTGTTTGTGAAAAACAATTTGGATTGCCTGTTGGGAAAATAATTTTGTGTGCTCTGTGAATATAGTTGATGATTGAAAGGAAAACCTTGTGGGGATCAGAATGTGGAGAAAATGTTTGGAAAATGATGACGCAGTCTGAAAAGGCAGGTTTTCATGGTTTCCCTGGTTTCAGCTGGAGGTCAGATCGGCTGCCATCAAGTCTCTGGGAGAGCTGGACATCTTACTGGCCTGGATTGACAAGAATCACCAAGGAACTCCCACTGCCTGACAACGAAGCATCTGATTACCCAGGGCGGTGCACAGCCCTGTGAGGTTTCCGGGAGGAGAGAGCCTACTTTGAAAGGGAGGGAGATGGGTGGGGAAGGCCCCATTTTTATGCATATCAGCACCATTTTGAAGAAACCTCTCTGCCCATTTGGAATTTTCTCCTCTGGGCCTGAAAGATTGTAGGTCAACATCTAGGTTTGGACAGATCTCACCCTGCAGCCAGAAGTCCCACTGGCTGAGCCCAGGCTGTCTGATACCACCTGAAAATAGCCCAATAATCTGCTGTCATATTTATAATGAAATGTGTTCTTTCAAAGGTCTTCTGGGCCACCCTGGAGGAGAAGGGTTGGTCTCCCCTTAATTTATTGTGAAGTTGTTTATCTCATGCCTGAGATGTGAGCTGAGTGGTACCCTGTAGTGCATATTGTACTGACTAATTTTTCTGAATAAACTCTCTCTTTCACCAGTTAGTGAAAGTGTGTTCTGATTTGGGAGGGGGGTCAATTAAGGAATCATAAATGGTGACTGTTAGAAATTAATAGGGCCTTAAAGAACATAAATAGATGGGGAAACTGAGGCTTAGAGAGGGATAAGAATTTACAGAGTCGTGAAGTGAGTTAGTGCAGAGAAGGGTTCCAAACTGGGTCTCTAAAATCTACCCAGCAGCTCGTCATCCACACAATGCACAATGATCAAGAAGATGAACAGAGGGCTTCTGATCCCTGGCTGCTTGACTTCACTCTGCTTCCGATGTCTTCTTCCTCTGTGTCTTTGCTTTTCTCATGGTCTGACTTTCTCTGTCTTTGTCTCTCTCTGTCCTTTCTTTCTTACTGCTCTTGACCTAAATACACCATTCCTGACCCTAAGTGTTCCATGGGTATATATGTTGGGCTAGAGAAGAGTGTTTCTGACAGAGGGATGGTTGTCATGGTGACAAAGCTGAACAAGTATAGCCCCAGGCATGGGGTATCCTGGGTAGAGGGGTTCGGGCTCAAGCTACAATGGAGAGAGGCCAAAATGGCCACCAACTTCTAGATGGACACTCCTCAGATGGTGAATGACAATAACGGCTGACACTTAGTGAGCATTTGCTATATGATGGGCGCTGAAATCAGCACTTTATACTCACTACCCTTGGTCAGTATCTCTGCTGTGACTGCCTGGCTGAGGCATCCTTTCTTATCTCTGCCTGAGAAAGAGATTTCTTGGAGCATGCTTTAGTGGACACAGCAAGACTTCTGAAGTCAGCCAGACATGGTTCCAAGCCTATGTGATTTTGAACAAATTACTTTATGTCCTTAAGTTTCAGTGTCCTCCTCTGTAAAATGGAGATGCAACACCAGTCTCAAAATGTGGCTCTGAGCCTCAAGTGAGGTGAAGCCCCCCTCAACCCCCATTCCACCCACTGTAAGCCCAGTAGGGGGAGGCTACATGGTGTAGCATGAAGAGCACCAAGCTAGGATCCAAGTCTGTTTTCAAGGCTTCTCCTGCCATGAATTTCTGGGGGCAGGTCACTAAATTCTTCAGTTCTTAGTAATCTGTACTGTAGACACTGACCCCTATACTATCTACTGTGTATGATAATTTAAAAGCCAGAGTCATTCCGATGGCCTAGGGAGCCCTCCTACCTGTGCACACTGCCTGCCGAGCTCTAACCCTGTGCCCGCCTGCTTGCCTGGCTCACTCTGACCCAGCAACACTGGCTCCTCTGTGCTCCTCACACATGCCAGATATTCTCACCTTGGGACTGTTGCACTCTGTTGGCATGCATGTATGTAAACTGAGGTAGGGTTGAAAAAGAAGTCCAATGTTATATTTTAATGGAATTAATAGGCTACTAATTCCATTAAAGGCCTCTGCAGAAGACTCAACCTTTTCAAGGTGACCTAGGATGGACATCCATCCTAAACCTGCTGGAGGATGGCAGGGCCATTCATCACAGCATTTCTATCTCTTCTGACTGCCTCCTGCTGTGCCTCCTCCCACACCTGCATGTCCTTCAGGCCTTACTGAAAAGGTATCCTATTGAAGCACAAGACCCCCACTCCCACTTCAGCACATCTTATACCCCTTTATTGCTTTCCCAGCACCTTATTTCATGATCTGTTCCCTTACTCAGGTGTAAGCTCCATGAGGGTGAGGATAGTTTGATTTCCTCACTGCTTGGTACTTATAGCATTTCTTGAATAAATGATCTGATAAAATAAAACAATACTAGCAAGCATTTACATGTGCTTTCTATGGGCCAGGCAATAATCTAAGAAATATGCTTATTATGGTATGAATACATGTATTTCATTTAAATCTCATGACAATTTGACAGAAGTTCTGAAGATGAAATAAAATAAAAAAGGCCATGTCAGTGAATGCTAACAATACAGATAATAAAACCCTAAGGAGGAAACCAGGGCACAGAGAGTTTAAGTAACTTACCTGAAGTCACACAGCTCATCAGCAGCAGAGTCATGGGTTTCCAAACCAGGCAACCAGGTGCCAGAATGAACTATAATGTAAACAACAATGTACACATGTTGAACACTCAGAATGTGCCAGGCACTGAGGTGAAAACTTTATGCCTTCTCCTGTATTACTCATGATAATCCTCTAAGGTGAAAGTTATTGACCACCCAATTAAATAGATGAAGTCTGAAGCTTAGTAAGGTTCAACAACACACCTATGATGATACAGTCCTAGCTATGGGTTTGGAATTTGTTAAATGAATTAAAAAAGGAAGTCATTAAGTGGAGGTGAGACTCACGCCTTGGCAGCCTATGCGAGCAAACTCAAATCTAAGTTTGCAAATCCCTCAAGTTATGAAACTGAAGAACAGCCATTCCCAAACAACCAGGTAGGATTTAAGCTGTAGCGAATCAAATATGCGATTTCTTTTCCTTGCTTCTGCACCTGCTCTTTGTGAGTCTTCCCCCTGACTGCTGTCAGCAGAGTGCTCCTAACCCCTTCTGGTTTGGCACTGCCCGATTCAAATAGATTTTTGTCCAAATAAATTTGTAAAGTTTTTGATAGCCCTCAGTTTATCTTTTAACATTTCCAAACTCAGAGTGACCTACTCCAAAGCCTGGGCCCTCAATCACCTCGAAATATGAGCTCACATCTTGCATGCATGATGGGAGGCTGGAGAGAGGAGACTCATCGCTGTAAGAGAGCTGCGCTCGCATGAAAGAAATCTTGTTATATCGTTGTTATATCAATTGTTAATGGTTGTAGAGGAGAAGGAAAAGAGGGGGGAAGAGGAGAGGGACCTGGAGGGGAAGGAGGAAATATTGAGTCTTTCTCTCTCTCTCTCTTTCTTGTATCTCTTGCCTGCCTACTTCACTTTGACCACTTCATTGTTTACCTGTACTTTCTCTCCTTCCAGACTTGAAGAATGTATCCTGACTCTTGTAGTTCTGAGTTGTGTTTTTGCTTTTGGTGGTGTTGTTGTTTCTTGTTTTTGTTTTCACAGAGCTGGTGTTTAATAAATACCTGCTAAGGAGCCAAGTGTAAAATTCTCTCCCAAATCATGTCTTTTCTGTCTTCCATCAGCTCCTAGCAGCACCTTGAGAAATCTAGGCTTCACCTAGCAATTGCAAAGGTGTAGAGGGGAGGAAACCCATAGCTTGTGCAGGACTGTGCCAGGCACTTTCAAGCCTCAGAGGAGCTAAGGAGGTTAAAGGTCCAATTCCCATGTTATCAGCGTAGATGCCTGAGGCTCAGGGAGGTGGGGGGACTTGGTCACCGGCTAAGGGATGGCAGATCCAGGGAGCGATCTTCTCCTTGCCACTGGAGAAGTTCACTTTGTTGTGGCCAAAGCTATATAACTTAGGGCCCAGGTGGTTACACTGGATGCCAGCAATGCGGACCATTAAACCCACATGCACAAAAAGGGGCCTGGACTTACTGGCAGCAAGTCTGTGCACTTACACGTGAATTTACAGGCCAATGTAGAGCAAAGAAGCAGAGGGCGACTTCTGAGTGTATTACCCGATGTTCCTGACCAGCTGAGCATTTGGGATCCTTCTGAGGAACATACTATCTTCCTTCCATCTTCCAGAGCAAATTGGTGACAGCCACACATGCTCAGCGCAGCTGTCTTTTAGCATTTGCCCAGAAATTTGGGCAAATGGATAAAAGGATAGGCTTTTATGTGAAATCCTTGTCGTGTCACTTACTATGTGACCTTGGCTAATTTACTTAATCTGAGTCTCATTTTTCTCATCTGTACAAATGCAGGAAACAGCTGCTTCACAGAACCGTGATGAGGATTTGAGATACCACTTATAGTAGATAAATAGTAGGTGCTCATTAAAAATAATGATTGTTGCTATTTAATAATTCTCAACTTTTCTAATCCTATTTCTCACAAAACACTGTTGTTTTGGGAAAACTTTCCTCTTACAAACTCAGTGTCCTACTCCACTTACATATATTTTAAAATGGCAAGTGAGACAAAGCAAAGGACACTAGCCTAGGCCAGCAGGACTTTCCTTGAGGTCTGCACCTCCAGGAGGCCTTCCGCCAGGTCCCTGATATGGGCGCTTACCATTTCTGTGCGGTCAGCCAGGCTCCAGGCAGACTTTCCAATTCTCCCTGCTGTTGAGACATGCCTCCGACGGGCTTGCCTGCTCTCTGTCCTTCCTCTGTCACAGACACATCCTGCTATAGGACTGCCCTTTGACTCTGTCCGAACCTTGCTTTGCTCACGCCTAGCACAATCCCTGACAAACACCAGTCACTTGATGCTCCCCATGCAGCTGTGAATGAATGTTTGATTGTGAGTGGCAGAAGCAAACTGATGTTCGATGGAGGTTTAGAGGTGAGTGTATCACATTTGGGGTGTGTGGCTAAGGAGTTTAGGGGAGGATGAATTTTTAAAAAATTGTTATGAGTTCTAGAGTGTTATAGAGATAGTCTACCTTCAGTTCTGTTATGGAAAGACGCTCAATTAGTCCAGTGGACTACAAACAAATAACAAAAGAGCCTGTGGTCACAGCCTGTTGCTG